TTGTTAACTTATTAATTTTACACAATACATGTATATAAAAATTCATCTCCTAAGCATATACCTTTACCAAAAGGTGTTACAATATTTTCATTTTATCACATGAATACATGAACTTATATTTACTTATTATATATATACATTGTACTTCCATAACCTTTCACTTGACTTAATTTCTTATGTTTGTAGCGTTTCTATGTAATTTTTTGAAAGATAACTTTAAAAGACTATTTACTCAATGTCGAAACCCTTTCATTTTTTAGAATAAAAAAAAAAATAAAATTCCTGTTCTGGACGGCAGGTTTTCCTTCCGTTATCTAACTTCCGGTTATCCTGTATTGCGTAAAACTGACCAATGGACATCTCTACGCTCAAGGCAAGCATCTCTCTCCGCTATGGAAGACTGACTGAACATCTGGTGATGGTTCCCAAGTGCGGAGTCAAGATGATACCATCTAGTACTGATAAGACTCACATCTTATCAAAAATACTTTAAAAAGTAAAAATGTCCTTAGTAAGATCTTGTTTTTTGTGAGTGTATTAAGATAAAGGTCTGTTGGAGACCGCATTCTTTGGCGACCCGTCCTCGCACCTGAATTGGACTTCCCCTCGGGTAAGATTAAGACTACATGTAATGGATTATGTTCAATAAGATAAGATGACAAATCAGATAATATTCCATTAAATGCGTTTAACATCCGTATTTGTTTTTATTTTAGGTATGTTGTAATTTTTTTTAATTACTGCTTTTTAAGTTGGCTTGAAAATATGCTATCCATTTCATTGAAAATCTTTATTATTCATTAATGTAGGACATAGATGCAAATAAGATTTACACTTGATATTTTCTTTCAGTATTTTCTTATTCCTTTTACTGCTCTGTACATCACAGAAAAATAAAATTTCTCTAGCGGACCCCATCCTTCTCTCCCCTCGATTTAATTCTTTTTAAATGTATAGATTGAACTTAAAATTGCACTAAATGAGAATTAATCTATTAAGTTTGTATGAGATGTTATTTCCCTTATTTCCCTTTTCTCGCTCTAAACTACATCCCTTTTCAGACTAAATCTGCCACTGCTTTCAACATTATCTATTGCAACTTTTTTTTTTTTTTTAAAAAGTGATAATCCATTGCAAGTAATGTAACCACTAAATTTCAAACATTCGCCTATTTTATAAATGATTATAAAAGAATTTTAAAAATAAATATTATTCAGCTTTTATGAGAAACTAATTTTTCATTAACTTTCTTGGGGTGGGATGGGGGTTAAGATATATCAAAATATATATTGAGTTCTTCCAGTTGTGAACATCAAACGAGAAAAACATGGGGAGAAATGAAATGAAATCAGTTGAATAATTTCGCATCTGAAAGACGTTACGCAGTGCTTGTGATCGTGTGTGACGGTACATATTGTCGTTTTGTACATATTGTCGTCGGCGACAATATATACCTACCCTCACTGCACATATTGTCGTCCATCTGTACATATTGTCGCCGGCTGAAAAATTACAAATGTACATATTGTCGCCGGCGACATTTTGTGCCTCACCCTCACTGTACATATTGTCGCCCCACAGATATTGTTGCTTTAAGATTTCTTTTGTTGTTTTTTGGTAGTTTTGTGAATGCAATTGGTGTATGAATCGCACTGACGTGTCTCTCATGCTATTTCATGCAGCGTTATTGTGATGGTACATTTTGTCGTCCTGTTCATATTGTCGCCGGCGACAATGTGTACCTACCCTAACTGCGCATATTGTCGTCCATCAGAACATGTCGCATGATAATGCACGGCAATGCTCCATATACATGTAAATATGGCTGGAGAAACCAAAAACTTCAAAAATGGTCATATACACTTAATTTAATCGCCGAAATATGGCTGAAATATAGCCGACTCGGCGTTAAACAATAATAATCAATCAATCAATCCATATTAATATGACTAATCATTGCTTTGCTGTTTTTGAGAAGATACCTTTTAAAAGAATTTTCCCATATATTCCTAAGTAAAACTTTGATCGCCCATTGTGACCCCACCTTATTCCCGGTTTGATTTGAAGATACTTGAATCTGCGCTACCTGGGGATGCTTTCATATAAATATCACTAATCACGGGCCTACTGCTGTTTTCATTGATGGATCCAGAAATTTCAGAACGGGGGGGGGGGCTGTTCAGAATTTTTTTTTGACAAGCAAAAAATTTCAAAAGTCATTTGTATGTTTAGGTGTGTACTGTATATGTCAAGTAAATTATCTAATTATGAAATTTTACCTGTGGACTAAATTGAGAGTATAAAAACGTTAAACAAACATAGTTTGCCAAAGCAGAAAAAATATTAAACCACCGGGATGGGGGGGGGGGGGGGGGGGGAGATGTGCGCCGGTGCTACATCTGTCTGGTTTTTGAGAAGATTTTTAAAGGTTTTCTGTATATATTTCTAAGTAAAACTTCTGGGGTCATGATTTGAACAAAATTGATTTTGTTTTTGTTTGTTTTTTTTTTGTTTTGATGTCTATCTCGAGAATTTTTTCATCCGTAAGAAGACGTATACTTTAGACCTATACTTGGCACACAGGGTCATTGAGCTTTGAGGGGTCTTTTTCGAGCCAGCACCTCAAAATTGAACTAACTCTATGTAACGAAGCTTTCACATGAGTGTCATCTCTTCTGACCCAGTACTTCTTGAAAAAAAAATTGAAAGATTTTTTTCCCTAAATATTCTATGAAAAACTTTGATCGCCTATTGCAGCCACACCCCTTTCCCCCGATGGACATGATCTGAATGAAACTAATCTACACTTCATGATGAAGCTTTCATATAAGTTTCAACTTTTCTGACACAGTGATTCTTGAGAAGATTTTTAAAAGATGTCACTAAATTTTCACTAATTCTTAACTACTATTTTACTACTGTATGACCCTTCATTTAAACAAACTTGAATTCCCTTTATCCACTGATGCTTTGTGACAAGTCTGCTTGAAATTGACTCAGTAGTTCTTGAGAAGAAGCTGACATTGTGAAAAGTTTACAGACAGAGGAACGGTCAGACAATATGTGATCAGAAAAGCTCACTTGAACTTCCAGTTCAGGTGGTCTAAAAATGTCAACCCTACACCAATTTTATAGGCACATGATTGTATATAAGAATAACACGAAAAATAATTTTTAAATAATCAATACTACTGAACAAAAAAAAAATAATACATATATTCAATCTCCAAGTATATATAACAAGAAAAAAGAAAAGGCCGATTTATCAGTTATCTTAAGAATCACAGTATCTTAACATATCATAGTGATGTACATCAATCCTGGACACAATTTTCTGACCAAAAAGTTTTCTCCCTACAGTATTGCGAGAAATGCTGTCCGTCTACCTTTGTGCTTGTTTTTGTTTGTCAACCTCTCTTTCTTTTTTTCAAGTAAATATTCGTCAAAACAATATATCGACGACAATATGTGCCGACCTTGACTGTACATATTGTCACCGACGACAATATGTGCTGGTGCTTGACTGTACATTTTGTCGTCCATTATGCAGGAATAAAATAAGGCTCGTATCGGTACATATTGTCGCCGGCGACAATATGTACCGATGGACGACAATATGTGCAGTGAGGGTAGGTACATATTGTCGCCGACGACAATATGTACAAAACGACAATATGTACCGTCACAATCGTGTATTGTACTTTCAACTTTTTTTTTTCCTTATATAACTGGTACCGATAAACGGTACCACTCCCAATGCCAAAATACGTTAATTTTTCCTAATTTTGAGACTAAAATTTCCCAATTCAACTGCCAAGCAACAGACTACGATGACATCGTATTTCTTTTTAAATGAAACATTGTACAAGTTGACTAATAATTTCACTTCCGCTTAAATCGATAGTAGAGATTAGTCGTAATATGGCGGGACCTGTGGTGAACAGTGTAGTGTCAAATTGAAAGCATGAAAATGCGAAAACAAGGGCTATTGATATGAAAAACAATAAATACTTGTTGTTTATTCTTTGAAACACGGAGTATTAGGTAATGAGGTTGGAATAAACGCAAAATACGTTTCATTTGTTTAAATGATAGAAAATTCTCCATTTTTCTACTTCGAAGCTATTTTTCCCAATTGAACCGGTACCGGACCCTTTCCCAATGGGTAGAAATAAATCGCTGACTGTTAAATCTACTAACCCACAAAAATCAAAAACGAAAATCAAAAAGAAAAACAACAATCAAATTAAACATAAAAAAAAAGAATTGAAAAAAAGATATTCAAAATATTAACATAAAAAAATCTTACTTGAAAAAATTTAAGAGTTTCCCAGTCTCTTTCATATAATTTTTCAGTGGGAGAAATGAAATAAAAATACAAATTTCCAAGAATCCCGTTAGAGAGTCGCAACATCTTTCAGAGTTTGGGTTATACAAGGGAAATCAATTTAAATGACATCATACAAAGACCATAATAAAACATCTGTGAGAGGGAAGGTCACACATCTCCTTTATGGCGCCACGCAAAGGGAAGCTAGCAGTTCGTTTATAACTTTTTAATAGTTCGTTTCAATCTTAAGATTTTATACCTCTGCAACGACATTGTAGAGGGATTGTCTGTCTGTTTGTTTGTCTGTAATGTATAACTGTAGTTACAAGGTTGAGATCTATTGCTCTATCGCTCTCCGGCTACTCAGAGCTACCCAAACCAAACTGCAGATGCGGATCTGAAGATATTTTAATGATATATGTATTCTTTAATTGTGTCAGTTCCGTTATGACGACTCTACTTCTCACTTTGTGAGAGAAAAGATGATGAATATTCATTATCTGCTTCCTTTTATAGGTTTGGACAACTTTTTATTTCGGTGGAAAAGACTGGTGGTGGAGTCCTTCCAATGATTTATAAAATTAGTCTACCCTGTATTCGGTACCTGTTCTTCTGCTGTATCCTTCTGTATATTTCTATTTGTTATATATCAAGAAATCTTCAATCTATAATGGCACTACAGTTGTCGAATAAGAAGACAATTCGTTCTCTGGACGAGGAGCACGTGGATTTTACCTGTATATGGAGTGCAGTTGACGAGCGCGAAAAATGCAAACCCAAATGTAAGCCTGGATATTTCGGGCTGTACGGGATGAGGAATTGTCACCCGTTGCTAACATGTGAGGAGATCGAGCAACTGAACACCTCTTCTGAAATAGGACACCAGGGATATGTCAAAGAGGTAAAGAATCTGGGTAATTTTGAATTTAAGAAATAAACGTTTTAAATTAAGGTAGATTTGAAGTTTTTCTATTGCTTTAGGTAAAACTTAATTTGTGGGTTTATGGTAGAAAACAGGCCCCAGGATCACAGAACAGACTAAGACTTAAGTCAAATTTTCAATCGGCTGTAATATGTTTATTAATTATTGAATTAATCTCTAAATTTGCAGATAACAACATTTTTGTGGAGAATTATTGAAAAATCTTTTAAATTTAATCTGCATGACTTCTACAAAATTTTAATACAACATAAAAAATTTGACTTAAGCTTAACATGTTTCATGATCCTTGGGCCTGGCCTGTATCAACGGTTTAAAATGGGGGGGGGGGGGTCTCAAAAAAAAAACCTAAACTCTCCAAAAAGTGGGGGAGACTTCCCCCCAAAATAAATCTGGAAAAAAAAACCTAAAGGGGAGGGGGAACTTCCCAAATTAATCTGAAAAAAAACATAATTAACTGTTCAAATTCTGGATTTTGCCAGTGCTCGAATATACACCAACAAAATATGTGTGTGTGGGGGGGGGGGGGGGAGGGGGGGGGCAACCAGCGTCTAATTGAAACTTTACTTTAGGAAAATATTATGCTCAGAAAAAAGTGGAGGGCCACCCACCCCCATCCCCGCGTTCTACGTGCCTGGAAAAAAAACATTGAAAAGATCTTGTACGTAAACCAGTATCTCTTCAGTTTTAATCACCCAATCGAAAGCGAATACATGAGTCGGGCAAAAACTCTTGGCCATAAATGACATACAGAGCGAATATATCAATTTCACCCTCAAATGTAGCATGTTTTGAATGTCCCTGCAAAAGGAAAATCATTACAAATAAAAGACTCGTGTGTCACAACCCGTAGTCAACTGAGTCACAAAATGAATGTGAAATCCTCTTAGTATGGTCCTAAACTTATCACGTGTAATATCTAAATTCTTATTCTAATCCGTAATCAAGTTTACAATCTATCGCCAATTAGTTATTGAGAAATTATCAGAAACTTTATAAAAGGGAGAATCCTCGAGGGCGAGACAGGATTTAAATTAAAATTCACGATTAAAACACTTAAAGAAGTGAGGAAAATATTTCATTTAATTCACTTATCATCATGCTAATCTGATACAATCATACATATGATATAGCTAGTCCCTTTCCTTCCTAAGATGCTTTTTTTCTTTATTCTATAGCTTTTCACCTCTTATTCCTAATTGTGTCATTTATCCTGTCCTGAAGAATAAATACAGGAATACATGTACAGGGTGTATTCCTAATTAAAAAATGAATTTAATTTTTGAAAAATTATGAGGGCATGAGCTACAACGCTTCACGATAATATGCAGGCGTGAAACGTTGTACATGTTTCAAAAATTTTAATTAATATCTTATATGTATTATTTATCTGATGACTTTTCATAAATTTATGTCATTTAACTATCATTTTCGAAACAAAACAGATTACACTATAATTTTGAAGTCAACTACAAAATATTAATGCTCATCCATTCTAGTTCATGAGAAAATAAACAGTTTAAGTAAGTCTAAGTAATAAAGAATCTTAGGGAGAAATACTTGAAAATGTAAATATGATTTTATTTGCAAGCGAGATCATTGTATCGACCATAGAATTTGCGAAACGTTTATTCGATACTTTGTTAACATCAACTTATTGTCAGTAGTCTGCCTCGATTTAGAATTCGTAGGCAGAACATGCTCTGCGTGTCGTATCATCTGAGAGACAGAAAACCCATACACAGGTGATAATGGTATACAGCTACATAAATAGTAGAATCCAAGGATGGAAAGTATGAATGAAAATATAATGAAAATATCGTTAATTGATAACATGTATTGTCGATATATTTAATGTAATACTTTCAGGTTAATTAGTTGAATCTAATTCGTAGAGAAATATTTGTTTAAAAACACTGTTACCCTCTGAATGATGAAACCACGCCCTCGGCGTAGCAGTTAACATTGCTTGACAACGGGTGATATTCCAAAAAAAAATGTTGACTGCACAGAATCTATGCATGCATGGTTCACTGTAGTTGATGATAACATTAAAAATGTTCACTCTCGAAAACCATTGTCAAACTCGGCTGCGCCTCGGTTTATATGGGTTTTCAATGTTACCCTCATCCACATGCAATATTTTTATAATAATGTCGAATTGAAGGCCACAGCAAGAATTTTTTTCTTTCATGTACAAAATGTAGCAGAAGTTTTAAAAATATTCTGCTTCAAAAGAATACAAAAGCAGAACTACCAGTATATCACTATCATTGCAGTTTTATGCTCAACCCTTCTGACATGCATGTTGAGTTTTTTTTTATAGGTTAAACCATAAATTCTCAGTTGGCAACAGGAAAAAATATTTTAACATGAACATTCGACGACATCCCTCTTTACTTTTTCTTAGGTTTGGCAGTCTAATTGGAATTCATTTCCCGTGGTCGTCAAAATCTTAAGGAGTCATGATATTGCAGGAATCATTGCTAGACCCGGTTACTTCAGAGGAATAAATCTCATGAAAAATTCCCCCCAGCGTTCTGTCTTACTTCAGTTAGTGGGACAGTGTAACGACACCATCGTCACAGAAATCCATCCGTTACTGGATGCGCGATATCTGGAAACGCGACTTAAAGAGTATCCCCAGTATAATACATTGTCAACCAGAATGAAATTATGTATAAGCTACGTGGACATCTTAAGAGTGCTGCACTCTGGCATCGACAGGAGAATATATGTTCAGTGTGATGCGCGTTCTCTGAATAAATTGACAGGACAATATCTCCTAACAGAAGACTTCCGGTTGGTGCTCAGTGACGTAGATTCCATGGAGGCGATAAAGTTTAACGATTCAAGCAGACGGCTGATTAAATGTACGGACTGGGGGCAAGTGACCGGCTACTTTCCCGCCCCAGAGGAGCTATGGCCTTACAAAGGGAGTTTCGACGCTTCTAAGATGCCATTGTATGACGAAAAAATTGAAATTTGGAAAATTCCAGATGTCTGTTTGTCCTTTTTGGGAGATGATCATTCTGCACTTAAGGTTAAACGTTCTCTAAAAGAAATCCATAAATTGTGCAAGAACCCGAATCCAAGGAAAAGACCGTCCGCCGCAGAAGTATTACACGCCTACGTAAGGGTTTTACGTGACGTTATAAAAAGTAAAGTGAAAATATCACTGTCACCGATTGATCAGGATACATATGCTACGCAATCATTGTCTCATTAATTACCAAAGTTTGTTCGACCTGTTATAGCAGTAAATCAGTTATTTTGAAATAAAATTGATAACAGTATGTGTATGCTTCTAAGGCCTGAAAAATCCGGCCTGGAACGGGGTGTTCCCAATAATTTTGCCAATATATACTAGAATACAAACATTGTACGGTTGGGATCCTCAAAAATAACGTCTGGTGACTTTTTATCCCGTTTGCTTGTCAAAGAATTTTTGTGAGATGGTACACCTCCCCCAATAAAAGACGTGCTTTTTAGGTGTCATTCTCTGTATGCATCAAAATAGACTAGAAATTGACTATCACCAATTTTTTTTTTATATATAAAGCAACAGTCAAAACAAACTCATGGACTAAAAATATTTTTTCAATTTTCAATAAATTAGGATTTTCATTCATTACCAAAAAAGAAAATTTAATAAAATCACTTCTGAGAAACATAAAACAAAGAATATCATATCAATGCTTACAAGAGGAATATGCAAAGATTCATAATTCATCAAAACTAAAATTTTATGAAGTTGTTTTTAATAATTTCAAACGCTGTGGATACACTGATATATTAAAAAAGAAAACAGAGATCAATTATTAGCAGGTTGAGACTTAGTGCACATAACCTGCCATGGAAAAAAGGGAGACATTTGGCTATACCCACAGATAAAAGATTTTGTAATACATGTATTTGCAACACAGAGGAGATTGAAGATGAATTTCATTTTCTATTCAGCTGCCATAAATACAATAATCATAGGTTAACTTTTGAAAGGAACTTGATGATTTTTTTTCAAGGAAAAATATCAAATATGTCTAATACTCAAAAAGTTAAGCTTTGCTTTAATAGCCATTGTCCAGAAATACTGAAAATAACACACTCACTTATTAAAAATGTCTTGTATCTAGAAATGATTGCATTACATAATTATTATAGAAATGATGGTATGATTTATAATTATGTATAGCCTCACATTCTATACTAAAATATTGTATTTTTATGGATGAACAATTGATGATTCTTATAATGTGTTGTGCCTTTGCCAATTATTGTAATTGTGTTTGCGCCAATAAATATTTGTATTTGTATTTATATAAACAAATTAATGGTAATTTTTAAAAAATCCCTTTTCATCGACTCTGGGATATATACAAATAAATACCAAGTAGCCAACTACATGAAATATAATATTTAAAAAAAAATGGGTTTTTTTTATTCAAAATCATTGTGTACAAAAATTGCAAACAACGGTGGATTTTTTAAATATTCTTTATGTACCTTAAAAATTTAATAAGACCATACCAAAAATTGAAGTGAACTAAATATTGATTGTTAATTTTGTGAAAATCTGGACACTTGCACTTTCGAAAACTTTTTAAAAACAGTTATTTCCCTTTCCGGAAATCTTCGGTCATGAGTGAAAGAAGGCTGAGAATCAGTGAGGTTGCCGACGGTTGTAGCGTTATGGTTGGGTATTTGCATCTATACTGGATCTATATAAGGTATGTATAAGGTATATATGATCATCAATTTATTATCAAAAATCCATTCTTACAATTAGTGTTAAATGCCCAAGTGAACTTTTCTGATCGAAGTATATCAACAAAACTTTTCTGAGAAAAGATCTCGGAAAAAATTATTCTTTTTATTAAAGAAATAAAATGGTATTCGTGGGATTCGAACCCCCTAACAATAACAATCCAGAGTATCATATTGCCTTGAGACTAACACGCTAACCACTACGCTGCACAGCTCCTGATGAACAGTGGCATTTAGGGTGAGTTAACCATGCATCGGACACATACCTTGCTTCGTACAACTTTGAGCAATAAACTTTCATTGAACCTGAGTCTCCCCGTGTTTTTACTTGTTTCTGTCTTAAAGATGAAGAATTAAACTTTTTAATGATGTCGATTTTTATTTTCATGTTGTGATAAAAATACCACAAGAATGGCCTTGAAATTACGTCATATTTTGCATCATCAAAGGGGAGTAACCCGAATTTTGCAATTTTTAGAGTTGTCGTTCTTTTAAATAGACGTCAACGGAACGGGCCGGACCTTGGTAAAATTTGCCAATGATTGATAATATTACAGGAATTTTTCAAAAGTTTTACTTCAATGTTTGTATAATATATTTTAGAGTTGTTTTTAACTTGTATGTTTATTTCACCGTACATCGGACACAAATTAACCATGCATCGGACACTTTCCGATGCATGGGTAATCACTTCCATTTTCATGTAAAACCCAAATGACAGCTGTTTTTTTTACGGAAATATAAAATAGAAACTCTAAATTTTCAGTGAAAATACAAATTATCGATATATGACGACTAGAAGTGGACTCAGTTTATTTCTTTAAACTAGATGATTATAACCCACGAGACAAAGGCGCGAGTTGCCATAGCACTAGCATTGTATAAAGCCTTTCTAAAGCGATGTGATGCAACTAAAATCTCTTCATATTTGTAAATCGAAATAGTCATTCAAATTTAATTAGAAGGTTAATTTTTAAATAAAAGATAAAAATGTTTCGATATCACTTATTTTAAAGCACCGAGATCAAGGTATGATATTTTTCTGGTTTGAATATCGTATATCCGATGCATGGTGAATATTGTCCGATCCATGGTGAATTCTGACTTATTTCGAAAAAATCAGTTTTTAATGATATTTTCTAAATAAATAGGGCACGATTGTGTCAAAAAATGATATTTTAACCACATACTACATGTTAAGTTCCATTTTGATAATATTCGGTCGGTAGCGATATCGCTAGAACTTGTTGAAGTGCAAGGGTGTCCGATGCATGGTGAATTCACCCTAAATCAAGTTTGTGGTATGACCCTTGACTTAATGGACTTCAAGTATTTCTCAGAAAGATGCGAATGTTTTGTCATAAAAGTGTACTTTTAAGGTATAGTGGGACTTTGCTCCATGCTTTTGTAAACCAAAAAAATTTATATTTTTATGCAAACTTTTAGGATTAACATTCAAAATATGGAGCGATACCCACTCATATCTTGTAATGCGAACACTAGAAGCTATTATAAATGATACGCAATTAAAGTCATATATGGCGTATTTTTTTATAAGTTCAGACTAACTAAAATTAAAAAGATCTTTCTATTTGTTTTATTACTTTATATAAAGATAGGACTTTCCTGTAAATTACAAAATTTAAACTAATCACGTTTCAAAGATATTAGAAATTCAAAACAATAACCGATTTATAAATTTACCGACTCCGCAATCAGATAACAGACACAGTTAAAAAGTCAATTTGACTATGGAAACATGAGGTTATTCAAGTACAAAATCAGTGAAAATTTTAATTTGAACGTAAATAACATATATCATGTCTATCTACACTCAATCTCGTGTTTTTATTTTTTTTTTTTTTTAAGCTCAGATATGCCATATAAATAGCTATAATTGTTAGCGATATTCAATTCTAGCGATCTCAACACCCTCGCAAATAATGCCAAAATTGAATCCTCGCTAAAATTTCAGTTTATACGGTATATAATGTGTGCATTACCATTGCTTTCCTTTACAGTTACCTATCAAATGATATTATTAAACAAACATTGTAAATTAAAGAGACAGTACGGTGCATCTCATCAAAAAACAGACTTGCTTAAATTTTCCGATAGGATTTGGAATTTTTTTTTTTTTTTTTTTTTTTTTTTTTTTTACAATTCATAAATGTATAAACTTACACAAAATTACAAGTTTCATTATTAAATAATTTTGATTATTTCATTGAAATTAATAATTATTTATGGACCATAAATAGATATGTAACAGAGTTGAAAGTGGCTATGCGTTGTATATAGTGAGGCCACGCTCCTACTAGCACTAGCTAGTGGGTTAACCCTTTAGCTCAGTCGGTAGAGCGTTGGATTTTAAATCCGAGAGTTGTAGGTTCGAGCCACAGTGTGGTCACCCCTAGCTAATCGGTCATAGATACATTGCTACGGGTTCCAATATCCAAGCTATTCACGCATGCGTACTTTTCATAAACAATACAGCATGCATGGTAAAAGAGGGTAGACCTGCTACCTTGACAAAGTCCACCAAGAAGTAAATGAAACTGCATGAGAAAAAGCTTGAAAAAACGATTTCCTGCCCAAGTTTTAGTTGTGGGATTATCGTTGGATGAGGGAGGCTCGGCGACACTCACACTGATCGTGTAATCTATCTAATTCTTTTTTTTATCCAATTCATTTTTAACTTCTGAATTATTAAAGACAGAAGGATAAATAGTTTTCATACAGCACCTCAGTCGCTTAATGCGAGATTTCAACATCCAACTGATGCTCTTAATCCATTCTGATAAAGTATCAAGATCTTTTTTTTTTGTGTTTGGCCCATCGCCTGGCGTAATCTTCCACAGAATTCATAAAATTTATAAAATTATGACGCTAGTTGAAAGAACGGTCCCTTAATTTTGGCCCTTTTAAAATAAGGGATTTAAGTTCCTCATTATTAACTATCTTTACATCACCAGTATTAAATGACGTGTCCAGCAGGACTATAGTTGTAGGGTGAAGAAGAACATGAACACGTAGGAGGATTATGTATCAGATGCTCGATATCTAGGCATTGTAGAGTTTTTTTTTTTGTATTTAAAAAGTTCGGAAGCAATAGTCGATATATATTTATAAGAAATACAAGGTGTGGACTTCAACTTGAAATATGGTGGAATATAAGACTGGACCTTTTGTGATTAAGACAGAAATACAAAGTGAAGTGACCTCTTGGTCAACAAAGACATGGGAATTATTGTGCTCCAAAACTGTGCCAACAAACAAAACAAAATGTACACTTCATTTGAAATAATGTAATCACTGAAACATTTGGGCGGTTCAACATTTTTTCTTGGGTTTTGTCGGGCCGGTGTTTTAGGCTCGGTCCGAACAGTTTCAGGCGTAAATGTCTGTCCCTGAAGAGGACTAGTTATAGTAGCTACGCTTCTGTTGGAGACCTTGATACGGACTAGA